AAAAAAATGTCTGGGTGTAAGTTTAGATGAAGACCATTCCATCTAATGGGCTGCAGTCTGGTCCAACAAGAATTAGGCCAGCGTTTCTGCAGTGAAGGGGTCCCCTCAAGGCGATGGTCTTGCAACCAGTGCCCATCACCCATGCAATTGAAGGCATTAAAGCACATGGCCCTCTGCAACCCCTGGGGAAAAGAATCCCTTCAAATGTCTTAGCAGTCCTTGAAAACAGGAAAAAAATTAACGCTGCTCCCAGGTATACTTCAGGTTGTCACAACTACCCCCTCTTGGGAGTGACCTCTGTGTCTCAATGCATCCATTTCCACATGAGGACTAGAGAGTCCAGTGTTTCCTAGGAAAATATGGCCAGCAATGTACATTTGGAAAAAACTGCTCAGCTAATTTCTGGTCCATAGTCTTCCCCCATGGGCAAAAATGTTTCAGAGCCCATATAAGTTTTTCCATGAAGCATGCTTGAAGAGCCCAGATCTCCATATAAACTAACCGATAGAGTCAAAGAAGTCTTACGGAAAACCCTTCATTATTTTGCAAGGAAAGAGCCGTGAGACTGGCAGTTCTTCCACCTGGCAAGAGAGCTCTTTATCTTAAAAATTTCAACATACATACGTATGGTTCCAACATACAAACAAGCAAACAGAAGAGCAAAAAAAGTTGCGGGTACGTTACATAAGGTAGGTGATGCAACGTTTGAGATAAATTCTGACTAATGGGACTTCACCTATTTTCTTATACAACTGTTAAGTCCTAACTAAGAAACTACATTTTCAACACATCTGAGAAACATTTCACATTCGGACTCTTTTGTGCAGAGCAAATTTACAAATTAGGCTGAGAGCTATCTCACATTAATTACACTCATAACGACTTTCTCCTCTATGAACTCTCTGATGACTGTGAAGCCTGGTGATCCTGGTGTAAGATTTCCCACAGTCACTGCATTTATAAGGCTTTTCTCCTGTATGAACACTCTGATGTTGGCGAAGGATACTCTTCCAGGTAAAAGATTTCCCACATTCACTGCATTTATAAGGCTTTTCTCCTGTGTGAACTCTCTGATGACGACAAAGTTCACTGTTAATGGTAAAAGATTTCCCACATTCACTGCATTTATAAGGCTTTTCTCCTGTGTGAACTCTCTGATGACGACAAAGCTGACTGTTCCTGGTAAAAGATTTCCCACATTCACTGCATTTAAAAGGCTTTTCTCCTGTGTGAACTCTCTGATGATTTTGGAGAGCTGTGTTTTTGGTGAAAGTTTTCCCACAGTCACTGCATTTATAAGGATTTTGTCCTCCATGATTTCTCTGATGACGGCGATGGACATCGCTCCTGGTAAAAGATTTCCCACATTCACTGCATTTAAAAGGCTTTTCTCCAGTGTGTAATCTCTGATGATATTTGAGAGCTCTGTTTTGGATGAAAGTTTTCCCACATTCACTGCATTTATAAGGCTTTTCTCCTTTGTGAACCCTCTGATGAATGTGAAGTTGAGACTTAGTGGTAAAAGATTTCCCACATTCACAGCATTTATAAGGCTTTTCTCCAGTGTGAACTCTCTGATGACGACAAAGTTTACTGTTACTGCTAAAAGATTTCCCACATTCACTGCATTTATAAGGCTTTTCGCCAGTGTGAACTTTCTTATGTCTGTGAAGTTCGAACATAGCGGTAAAAGATTTCCCACATTCATTGCATTTATAAGGCTTTTCTCCTGTGTGAACCCTCTGATGAGTTTGAAGGTTATACTTAGTGGTAAAAGATTTCCCACATTCACTGCATTTAAAAGGCTTTTCTCCAGTGTGAACTCTCTGATGATTTTGGAGAGTTCTGTTTTGGATAAAAGTCATCCCACATTCACTGCATTTATGAGGCTTTTCTCCTCTATGAATTGTCCGATGCTGACAAAGTGCACTTTTCCTGGTAAAAGATTTCCCACATTCACTGCATTTATAAGGCTTTTCTCCAGTGTGAACTCTCTGATGTCTGTGAAGTTGGAAATTAGTGGTAAAAGATTTCCCACATTCATTGCATTTATAAGGCTTTTCTCCTGTGTGAACTCTCTGATGAATGTGAAGGTGAGACGAAGTGGTAAAAGATTTCCCACATTCACTGCAGTGAAAAGGCCTTTCTCCACTGTGCACTCTTTGATGACGACAAAGTTTAATGAAAGAGTTGTAAGCTTTCCCACATTCACCACATATATAAGGCTTTTCTTCAATGTGAATGCTCTGATGAGAAAGAAGGTTACTGTTATGGGTAAAAGATTTCCCACATTCACTGCATTTATAAGGCTTTTCTCCTGTGTGAACCCTCTGATGACTGTAAAGGTGAGATGAAGTGGTAAAAGATTTCCCACATTCACTGCAGTGATGAGGCCTTTCTCCACAGTGCACTCTGTGATGATATTTGCGACCATTGAAAGTTGAAAAAGACTTTCCACATTCACTACATTTATAAGGCTTTTCTCCAGTGTGAATGCGCTGATGACAATGAAGGTTACTGCTACTAGTAAAAGATTTCCCACACTCATTGCACTCATAAGGCCTTTCTGCTGTGAGAACACTCTGATCATAATGGAGGGCAGGGCTATTGGTAACAGGATTTCCAAAATCACTGTGCTCATAGGGCCTTTCTTCAGTGTGGAAAGCTTCATATTCACCTAGGCCGTTAATACTACTAAAAGCGTTTCCATATTCACTGTACTCATAATGCCTTTCTTCAGTGTGCAAAGCTTCATATTCACCTAGGCTGTTACTATTGCTAAAAGCTTTCCAATATTCACTGCACTGATAAGGCCTTTCTCCAGTGTGACCTTGCTGTAGAAGATAAAAGCTAGAAAATTCGGTAAAATATTTCCCACATTCAGAGCACACAAAACATCCACTTCCAACATTGACATCCTTTTCCTGAATAAATGTGTGGGTACAAGTAATGTCTTTCTTAGATTCTTTTCTGGCGCAATAATTTTTTGTCCTTTGAAATGTCATCCCATGTGTCGAAATAGCATTTGGACAGTCCCTGGTCTGAGTAGCCTTTAGGTGGAGCTGTCCTGATTCGGTAAGAACACCCTGACCAACCTCCCCACATGTGAAACCATTTTGGGACACATTGAAATTGCAACTGTTTGCAAGGGAGATCCTGTCCACACCTCTAATGAAAGTCTTCTCTCTCACATGCCATTGGTGAATATTGACACTGAAGTAAAACCGTTTTGCACATGCCCCACACCTCAACAGTATCTGTCCGTATTGTGTTCCCTGCAGCTCCATCACGTGGAAAATGTTTCCCAAGACTAGTCCACAACTCTCACAGGGGTGGCTCTTCTGGGAAGACAAAGGTAACTGGGGATTCCATGCCTGTGAAACTCTCACAAAAAAGTTCTGTTCAGTCACTGCCTCCTCATTCTCTGCTCCACAGCAACAACCTGAACAAAAGGAAACACTGGTAAAGTACATGTTCACCCTATGAAATCAGAATATCTTCACCACAAATGTTTCTCTGTCATGACTAGGCCTGAATCCATAGAAAGATTTTAAGGACCAGTGATGTATATTCTGAGGAAACTGTTGTTATGCATATCGTGGCCCCAAAACTCAGTTGATGATGAAAAGAAAACCAAGAGAGGGACAGCAGCACAGGCTGGGACACAAAGAAGAGAGGAAGGCTCTACTCATTTTTCCTGCACAAACGGCTTCCATTAGGGCCTTATATGTTGGCCATGTGAGTCTATGTAGAATCATTTAAAACAGCTCAAAGTCATAAAAATGTATTGTATTAGACCACATGATGTTCAACGTCAATATAATAACATGTGTGCACTCCAAGGTACTGCAGGCATGGACCAATGTTAGAGGGCAGAAAAGAGAGACCTGTGAAAGGTGCAAAGTCAAGAGAGGCGAAGGTTATCCATGGTCTGGGAATCGCAGTAGAAATGATCACTATGAGTGCTGATAGAACCAAGTTGGCGCAACAGGTAAACACCAGAAATTGCTGCCATGCACAACCACTTCAACAATACAACTAAAAGACAAAACAGACATCATCCAGAACCACAGGAAGGGTGGCTGAGTGGAAATTCTACAACTAGGAGGAAAGAGAAAAGCATACTGAGACTCAGAAGAGGTGCGGAAGTAGAGTGTAGAGATATGGAGGTGCACACGGATATGGATGGCAACTGAGCACGTGGCGCACTTGGAAAGGGCTGGCAACTGAGGACGTGGCCCAAGGCGAAAGGGCTGGCAAATGAGGTCACGGCTGTCTTTTTCAATCGGGAGGGAGTCTCAAGCTCCCTACTTCTATGAACTCCAACTCCGGGCGAGTCTCTGGGGACCCAGACTCATTCGGGGAGAAACTGGACTGTCTGGCATCGGTCGGAACTCGAGGGTGGCTTTCTCTCAGCGGTACTTGCAGAGATTACCGGGATACTGAGTTGCTGGGCCTCTTACGGTAGGACTGAGGAGCAGCCATAGCTGCTTGCTCCGCCCCATTGATCCCCTGAGACCCCGCCCCACCCAACCTGTGGGCAGAGGCTTTTGCATATCAAAGGCCTGGCTCTTTTCAATCTGGAAATTACCTAATAACTGCAGCTGGGTCAGAGAGAACCAGAACTTCCAAAAGAAGGCCCAAGGCCCCACAGCACCTTGCATTGCTTCACAGCTGGGCCTCATCTGGGCACCTCCAAACCCCAAACAAAGAAGAGGAATCTGCAAATCTCTCTGTAGCTCCTGCTGAGTAGCCTCAGACAGAGGCTAAATTAGCACCTCCTTAGAGATCCAAGAGCCAGTGTACCCAATGGTCAGAGTGGGACAATACAGATGAAAACTCCTCAGAACCATAAGGGACACACTCAGTGGGCAGAATCAGTGAGCACCAAAGCACCACTGAAGCAAGTCTTGCCCCAGAAGGGTGCCTCTAAAACTGAAGTTCTCCCACTGCAGACATAGCTGATTCTCACAGCCAACTGGCCTGGAGGTCAATTCCTCCCAGTGATACCAACTACAATCAAGGCTTAACTACAACAACACTGTGCACAAAGCCCACAAGAGGGTGCACCAAGACGGTTTACCTCAGGTAATTGGGGAGGCTGAGCAACTGGGCCCTATAGGACTCCTAACACAGAAAGCCACTCTATCAACACAAGGAAGCATAAAAAAATGCCGAGACAAAGAAACAGGACACAAATGACAGAAATGGAGGAAAGCAAACTACTGGATATAGAGTTCAAAACCACACTTTTAAGGTTTTTCAAGAATTTTCTAGAAACCACCGATAAATTTAGTGAGACCCTCAAGAAATCTAGTGAGACCCTCGAGGTTATGAAAAAGGACGAACTAGAAATTAAGCATACACTGACGGAAATAAAGGATATCATGAAGACTTCCAACAGCAGTCTAGAGGATCACAAGAATAAAGTCAAAGATTTGAAATACAAAGAAGCAAAAATCACCAACCGGAAATACAAAAAGAAAAAAGAATGCAAAAATATGAAGATAGTGTAAGAAGTCTCTGAGACAACTTCAAACGTACCAACATCTGAATTATGGGGGTGCCAGAAGAAGAGAGAGAGCAAGATATTGAAAACCTATTTGAAAAAATAGTAACAGAAAACTTCCCCTACCTGGTCAAAGAAATAGACTTACAAGTCCAGGAAGCACAGAGAACCCCAAACAAAAGGAATCCAAAGAAGACCACACCAAGACACATCATCATTAAAATGCCAAGAGCAAAAGACAAAGAGAGAATCTTAAAAGCAGCAAGAGAAAAACAAGCAGTTACCTACAAGGGAGTACCCATTTGACTGTCAGCTGATTTCTCAAGAGAAACTATGCAGGCCAGAAGGGAGTGGCAAGAAATATTCAAAGTACTGAATACCAAGAACCTACAACCTAGATTACTTTACCCAGCAAAGCTATCATTCAGAATTGAAGGTCAGATAAAGAGCTTCACAGATAAGGAAAAGCTAAAGGAGTTCATCACCACTAAACCAGTATTATATGAAATGCTGAAAGGTATCCTTTAAGAAGAGGCAGAAGAAAAAGGTAAAGATACAAATTGTGAACTACAAACATGCATCTATCAACAAGTGAATCTAAGAATCAAGTGAATAAATAATCTGATGTACAGAATGAACTGGTGGTTATAATGAATTAGGGACATAGAAAGGGAATGGACTGACTATTCTTGGGGGGGGGGAAGGAATGAGAGATGCGGGAAGAGACTGGACAAAAATAGTGCACCTATGGATGAGGACAGTGGATGTGGAGTGAGGGCGGAGGGCTGGCGGGAACTGGGAGGAGGGGAGTTATGGGGGGGGAAAAAGAGGAACAAATGTAATCTGAACAATAAAGATTTAATAAAAAAAAAAAAAGAAATATTCAAAGTGATGAATAGCAAGAACCTACAACCTAGATTACTTTACCCAGCAAAGCTATCATTCAGAATTGAAGGTCTATAAAGATCTTTACAGATAAGAAAAAGCTAAAGGAGGTTATGACCACCAAAACAGTATTATATGAAATGCTGAAAGGTATCCGTTAAGAAGAGAAAGAAGAACAAAAAGGTAAAGATACAAATTATGAACAACAAATACACATCTATCAACAAGTGAACCTAAAAATCAAGTGAATAAATAATCGTATGTACAGAATAAACTGCTCAATATAATAGATTCAGGGGCATAGAAAGGGACTGGACTGACTATTCTTCGGGAGGAAAGGGGTGTGGGGGGTATGGGAAGAGACTGGACAAAAATTCTACACCTATGGATGAGAAGGGTAGGTGGCGGGGATAAGGGTAGAGAAGGGGTTGGGAACCGGCTGCAGGGGATTTCTAGGGGTAAAAAAGAGGAACAACTGTAATAATCTGAACAATAAAGATTTAATTTAAAAAATTAATAAATTTGCCAAAAACTTAAAAAACATAAATATATAAATAAAAATCCCCTGTGCTGGACCAATTTATCCTTCCCTCTGTACTCCAAGCCTGTGGCAACTACTAAGCTTTTTACTCTCTGTATAGTTTTCCCTTTTCCACAATGTAATGTAGTTGGAATCATACAGTATATACCCTTTTCAGACTGGCTCTTTTTACTAAGCGATATATATTTAAGTTCCTTGCATTCCTTTCTTGGCTAAGGGGTCATATCAATGTGGGGAGGTCTTGCTTCTTGGTATTCCCATTCCTAGTTTGATTTTTCTCTATTTTCTCTTTTTGTTGCTGAATATTTCATTGTACGGATGCACCACAGTTTGTGTCAGTTTGTGTATCCACTCACCTTTTAGGGGACATTTTTGGTTGCTTACAGTTTGTTGGCAATTAGCAATAAAAGCTGCTATAACAAGGGAAGAAA